GGGTCGGGGGTGGCGGGGTGCGCGTGGGGCGGGGCCGTGCCCCGGGCCGGAGACGAAGAGCCCCAGGCGCGAGCTGCGCGGCCGCGATCGGCCGGGGACGTTTGCTGTCCGGCGCGGCCCGCGAAGGCTGGCTGGGTGTCCTGCCGCCCCCAGGCGCTCGCTGACCGCCCCTCGTCCGCCCCGGCCGTGCCGGGTCCCTGGTGGTGCCGGCTGCTGGCGCTGCCGCTGCTCCTACCCGGGCTGAGGGCGTCCTGGTGGGCGACACTGGCGCAGGGTGGGCCCTAGCTGGCGCCCCAGTGTTTTGAGGGTAGCTCGAGACTCTGTGCATGTTCGGGCGCCCCCCGTTGGGCGAGCAGGGCTTGAGGGCGTGGGGCTCCACGGTGCCCCGAGCGGAAACAAGGAAGCGGGACGTGGGGACGAAGCTGAGCGGGTCTGTTTTATTTTTTAAAAAGAAGTCGGGTCTTGTCTCTTTTTTCTTGCTACAAATGAACTCAGCTGTTTCTACTGTAGCGTTCATGCAGAGATGGTTTCATACACATACTCTGTTTCACTCTTATGCGCATCGCTAACGTTCTTTGAAGTGCGAGTGAGTGTCCCCCGCAATGACATGGTCACAGTGAGGGCTGTGTTTCTGAGCGCAGCAAGCAGAGAACGTGTGAAGATTCACCCTGCCGTACGCGAACCACCGCCCCCTCAGGCACCCCGACATCTCCCCGCGCCCCGGACACTCCTCCTCTCTCCCCGCACCCCGCGCCCCGGCCTCACATCGCGCCCCGGCCTCTCCTCGTCTCTCCCCGCACCCCGCGCCCCCGGCTCCCATCGCGGCCCGGCCTCTCGTCCTCTCTCCCCGCACCCCGCGCCACGGCCTCCCATCGCGCCCCGGCCTCTCGTCCTCTCTCCCGGGCCCGGGTCCGCGGACCAGTAGCAGCCGCCCGTGCTGTAGCGGCCCGTCACCGCGACCAAGCCCCACTCACCCGTCCCAGAAGCGGCAGCAGCAGCAGCAGCCCACACGGCGACATAACTCCGCCAACCAAGAAACCAAACGGCTGCCGGCGAGGGAGGAGCTGCCGCACGGTCGGTACACGACCGCCGGAATTTATAGGGCCGGGACGCCGGCTCCCCGCCTCCCAGCCTGCGCCGGCCCAGCGGGTAACTCCTCGCGCACAGCCAACAGGAAGCCCCGTCCCCGCCGAGCATGCGCACATCCAGCCGCAAGCCCCGCCCCGCAGAGCGTGCGCACACCCAGCGGCAAGCCCGCCCCCCGAGCACGCGCACAGCCAACGGCTAGCCCCGCCCCCGCCCCGCCTCTCCACTGGCGGGTGGAGCGACTCGTGGTGACGCGAGCGAGGGTAGCAGGTGGGCGGTGCCCCTGAGCTCCTCAATTCCTGAAAGTGATGTGTAATTGGCTAAAATAAATCGTCCTCAGAGCTGGAGGAACCACACACGCCAACAGGGGAGCCCTGTGTTAGCTTGCTGAGCTTCCCCAATGAAGTATCGCAGACCGAGTGGTTTAAAGAAGAGAAAGTTCTCGTCTCACAGTCCCGGGGCTGCAGGTCCGAGCCCAGGGGCGGGCACGGCGGGCTCCTTCGGAGGGCTGGGAGGGAGAACCTGTTCCCCGTCTCCCCCCACTCCCCGGCTTCTGGTGGGTGCCAGCGAACTTCCTTTGCTTCCTTGGCTTGGAGAAGCGTCGCCCCATCTCTCCCTCCATCTCCACGTGTTCTCCCGCTGTGCGTGTCGGTGTCCAAAATTCCCCTTTTTATAAGGACACCGGTCACATTGGATTAGGGTCCACCCTAGTCCGTTAGGACCTTGTCTTTAAACACATCTGCAAATAGGATAATTACATCCTATTTCCAAATGAGGCCACCTTGTGAGGTATGGGGGTTAGGACCTCAACATATACATTTGGGGGGGGGGCACAATTCATCCCATAACGTGAGATGTCTGGTCCAGAGTCATCTAATGACACTACTGGAAGTAGCTACTAC